CTCAAGTTCACATAGCCAGATCACTTGCTTTTTGCCCTGAAGTCTAGCCTCTCCAGGTTTGTTAGAGATAGCTAGCTGAAGTTTACTTCTGGAAGAATTTACTTAATTTAGATTGAGAAATGGGTCTTAACCTGCACCCTGTTAAGTGGGGAGTCTCACAGGACATGGAGCCTTAGGCTAAGTGTTCTGGGATGACAGGAAGAAGGGGCTCCTGCTGGGAGGCCCAGGAACCTGTTTGAGGAGATGCAAGGGCAACTGAAAGAACCCTCAGGGTCAGACTGCAAACTAGGCCCCTCTACTTGCCTCGCTGGGCACTAGAGTCCACACCCTGGGGATTCATTGTCTTCTAGGATCTCTCTCTGGCTTGTAAGAGTTTGAGGAGGCAGGAAGTAAGGTGGTAGATGTGGGGCAGAAGAAATCACAGGTGTAGGAGGAGGATTTAACACCTAGAGCAGAGTGGCTGTGAAAAAGTATGGGGCCAGAGCTTGGATGCATCCCTCTTTGACCTGGGCTGGTGGTAGCACAAGTGTCTGCCTCAGAGGTGCGAACCTTCACAGTGACACTTCTTCAGAGTGTTTGCAGCTCACAGTGATTCTCACAGCCAAGAATCATGCCCAGGATCCACTGTGTTTCCAGAAGTCACAGTGTCACCCTCCCCACCCGCCAGTGTGTTGCAGCTTAGGTATTTATGAGAGCCTCAACTTCGTAAGGGACAGAGCGGGACTCAGCAATGCATAGAGAGCATCCCCAGCTCTCTCTCAGTGTCAGGATACTGCAGGCCTTGTTCATAGCATCTCCCTGCTTCTGTGGAATTGTAGCTGGTTTCTGGCTTACTGGAGGGGCTAGAGATCTGCTGCTCCAGGAGCAGGGGTGTATGACCAGGTACAAGGTAATATGCAATAGCCCTCCGTGGGTTCAGAACACTCATTTCAGTAAAGGGAGTGGTGGTGAACTATTCTAATTTGCTTTTCTGCTGCTATGATAAAACATTCTGACCACATCAACTTGAGGAAAGAATCTATTTCAGCTTACATTTCCAGGTCACAGTCCATCACAGAAGGAAGTCAGTACATCCGTACAAGAAAGTAAGAATTTAAAGGAACACTACTTACTAGCTCACTTAATTATGCTCAGCTGTACAGCCCAAGACTCCCTGCCTAGGGATAGGATTGCCCACAGTGGCAGTAAACAGTAAGATAGTTCCTCACAGACATGCCCACATGTCTTATTTAGGCGATTCTCCAATTGAGGTTCCATCTTCCAGGTGACTATAGGTTGTGTCAGATTGCCAATAAAAAACAAGACGTGGACTGCTCACTTAGGATTTTTGTGGCTCTGTCTTTCTATGGTTTCTGTCTACCTGCAGCCAGGAATGGAGGGGAGCATAATGTTTGTATCTTATTGTAGAAACCTGTGGAGATGATCAGAGAGAACAAGGTCAAGTATATATGATAAAATGGGGGATTGTGGTACCTGGGAAAGTTTTTTTAGAATCCCAGCAGAGGCACACACCTGTAGTCCCAATACTCAGGAGGCGAAAGCAGGAGGATAGAGCATTCAAGGCCAGCCTGAGCTACTTACTACCGAGAGTCCGCCTCATCAAACAAAACACGAGATTTTGTGGAGGGCAGTTTGCGTTTGGCCTGACAGAATAGGTATGGGAACGGGTGTTGTCTGCTTTCCGCCCCCACCCCAGCATTTTTCTCTTAATTCTGCAAGCTTGAGCTCCTTCTACCACCGAAAAGCAAGAAGTGCTGTCTAACAGGAATGCTGGAGCCAGCTTGTAGTGAAGGCTAGGGTGCTTTCAGCCACATCCGAAGAACACACGCCCCTTTCCTGAGCTGCTCTCGGGCCCTTTCCACAGTGTGCTGGGGTCAGGAAGTGGAGTGGATCAGACCAAAGTTTTGGCACTGGGGCTGCTTCCCAGCCCTATGCCCTTTGGCATTGTGGTTAACAGGGCCAAGCCTCAGTTTCCTCAGAAGAGTATCCTGAGTGTGAAATAGCACATATAAATGGCAGATTCCATTGCCCTGAAATTATCGGTCACCTGGTTATTGGATTCTAGAACCTGAACTTTGAGCCTGGATTATTCAAGGTTTGAGTTTGTACCTCTGGTCTTACATATAGCATGAAGAGGAGTCTTTGTAGCCAGTCAGTGGGGTTGGACTGTCAGGTTATGGTGACCTAGAAACAAAAGACCCTGAACAGTCAGCATGGGCTTTGGTTGTTCTGACCCCACATTAGTTCAGCAGAGCATTAGGTTTTCGGTAATCTGGTTTCAACAATTCTAATGGTTACAGAGCTTTTTAATGCAACAGAAAACCATAACCTTTGTTTCCTCCAATTTTTTTTTGTATAGTTTTGTGAAACCATTTTGATGTAAATTGTAGTTATGAAGCTCTAAATATTGTAACATCCATTGCTAAAAAGCAGAGGTTTTCATATAGTTTCAGTAAATGCCACTAAGATTATTTCCATTTATTTTTCTTGATAGTCCCTGAAGGATTGTTATAACTACCTTTTGAAGCCATAATCCAAGCTGGATTTATCTTTTGTGCTTGCTTGTTATTATTGTGATCTTTTTTAGTTTTATTGCTCTGTGTGTGCGTGTGTGTGTGTGTGTGTGTGTGTGTGTGTGTGTGTGTGTGTGTACGTACAACTTGCAGGAATTGGTTCTTTCCTTCTACCATGTAGATCCTAGGGATCAAACTCAAGTTAACTTTTCAGTCTTGGCCGCGGTTGCCTTTACCTCCAAGCCGTCTCAATGTTAAAAAGACGGGCTGTTCTGCAGGGGCCCCAGTTCTGGGTTGTCTCTCTGTTCCCCACGGTGTGGTTTAACTTGGTGCCATTGGCACCTTCTCTGGGATAACTTAGCACAGTGTTTTTAAAAATTGCATATGTTTTCCATAAACTGGAAGTTAAATCTAAAGGCTTGATTAAGGTCAGTCAAGTCAAATATTTTTGGCAAGAAAACATCATAGATGATAGTGTTTGTTTTTGTTTAACTTTATTTCTTTTTATGTGTGTGGTATTTTGCCTGCATTTTGTTGGTGTACCATATGTCTGGAGAGGCAAGTTGTCACATTCCCTGGAGCTGGAGCTATAGACAGCTGTGAGCTGCCATATGGGTGCTAGGAATATCGAACCTGGGACCTCTGGAAGAGCAGTAAGTGCTCTTAACTGCTGAGGCATCTCTCCAGCCCCAGGTGATGCTGCTTAACTTATCAGGAAACCAGTGCCGGATTGTTTCTGTTTAGTGATGGCTCGTTTTGGTTGCTTGGTTAAGGTGACCGCTGGATCGCTCCCAGATCGAGGCATCAGGAAATAATTCACTGTGGCATTGTGGGGACTGCCCCAAACCTTTCACCTAATGGCCTTGACATTTGTTGGTGACATTTGTGTTGTTACAGTGGCAGTTGCAGAATGCTTATATTTTCTCCCCCTTCCTTGAGCCCCAAGGGGGGCCTTACTAATTCTAAACAGAATACTAATCAGGTGCTGTCTTGCTATGCCTCAGTATCTAGTTCTGTTAACCCTTCTCCAGCGATTACCCAGTAATCTTCTGTAAGCCCTGCAGTGTTAACTCTAATGTACATAGTAGTTTTTATTCAGCTTGAAGAGATCTAAAGACCCATTGGACCCAGCATGATCTGGTTTAATGTGCGTTTCTAGTGGTGAAGGCGTCATAGTTTATGTGAAAAAGGACTTGTAGCTGAGCTCTTCATAAGAAATTGTAAATTCTGTCCTTAGAGCTACCCTCTTCTCTCTAGCAAACGAACGAAAACAACGCAGAACTGGCCTGGCCTTTAAACTTCCAGGGCATCCCACAGGTGGCCAGAAAGGGCTTCTGTCCACAGGAGCCCCACAGCTCCACCTCCTCCCCATTGTCAGGCCTCTGCAGTGTGTTAAACTGAGAACACTGCATCAACCCTTTTCCTCAGGAGCAAACCAAGGGATTAGATCAGACACCCTGAACATTTCTGCTAACATTCTGGGGACTTGATACATCTTCATTTGCCATTTGCCAGTTGAATTTCATTTCAAGTTGGCATATACACATTTTTTATTCATTACATTTTTTTCAAAGTCACACAGGTCTAAACCCAAGGGTGTTTTGGTTCATATGCTCAGCAGTATAATTCCTCATGTTTGTATAGTGCTGTCCCCTGCAGAGCACTTCTATAGATGTCACCACACCAGATCCTTAGGGAATCAATATTGTATTCTCCTTGGGCCATATGGGCTGCATTTTATGTCTGTGTATTTACCCTCTCTGTTAGCAGAGTCTACCGAGCTCTCCCATTGTACCTGTCAGTGATAGTGCTGCTGTCCTGGCATTGCAAAACCTGCATGGTCACCTCCGTGCATCCATAGCAGAGCCACCTTCCCTGCCCAGCAGGGTGGCCAGGACCCTGCACTCTCGGTGCCACTTTTAGTTTCAGTTCTTAGATCCAGGGGACTGAGGAGCCAGGAGTCTGGGTTCTCTCCCCAACTTCCTCCTATGAACCAGGCCTATGCTCAGTGTTTCCAACAGAATTCTTTTTTTTTTTTTTAAGATTTATTTATTTATTATGTACACAGAAGAGGGTGCCATTACAGATGGTTGTGAGCCACCATGTGGGTGCTGGGAATTGAACTCAGGACCTCTGGAAGAGCAGTCGGTGCTCTTAACCTCTAGCCATCTCTCCAGCCCCAACAGAATTCTTTTAAATCACTTGATTTGAATCCCCTGTAGGCCTCTCTCTCTCTCTTTCCATTTTATGGATGGATAAATTGAGGCTGAAAATACTCCAATGACTTTTCTGTTGTCACGGACAGAGGCAGGAAGAGGGTCAAAGCTGTGAAGGGTGAGTTTCTGTGTCCCCAGAAGGACCATGCCTGCACAGCCCAGAACAGCCACAGAAGATTCCTCCCTTCCTGGCTCCTCTGTGATCTCAGCTTGAACAGTCTTGGGCAGGGTGCCGCTCTTCTCCTTTTACTGAGCCTGCTCTTGATTCCAGGTCTGATCTCTGAGGAAGAAAAACCCTGCCAGGGAACAGAGACCCCCAAGCTAAGGGTGCAATGGCAGCATCAGCCCCCTTGAGGAGCCTGGAGGAGGAGGTGACCTGCTCCATCTGCCTGGATTATCTGCGGGACCCAGTGACCATCGACTGTGGCCACGTCTTCTGCCGCAGCTGCACAGGTGATATCCGCCCCATATCTGGGAACCGACCAGTCTGTCCGCTCTGCAAGAAGCCCTTTAAGAAGGAGAACATCCGGCCCGTGTGGCAGCTAGCCAGTCTGGTAGAGAACATCGAGCGGATGAAGGTGGACAGTGGCAGGCAGCCGGGAGAGCTGGCCCGAGAGCCCCAGGACGTGAAGTTGTGTGAGCGGCACCAGGAGAAGCTGCACTACTACTGCGAGGATGACGGCAAGCTTCTGTGTGTGATGTGCCGGGAGTCCCGGGAGCACAGGCCCCACACTGCGGTCCTGGTGGAGAAGGCCGCCCTGCCTCACAGGGTGAGTCCCCCCTCAGGCCTGAGAGGGAAGGTTCTGTCTCGTGTTCCTCCTGCCACAGCTCAGGACACTCATGTCTCTCCACTGCTTGTCTTTCCCCAGGAAAAAATCCTGAACCACCTGAACACCCTAAGGAGGGACAAAGAAAAAATTCAGGGCTTTCAGGCCAAGGGAGAGGCTGATATTCTGGCTGCGCTGGTACGTGGAAGTCGTGGTTGAGAGGTGATGTGTGCTCCAGGGGGGGACCAGGCAGGTGGAAGTGTTTCTTGGAGGTATGAAGTGCCAGCCTGGCTTCAGGCCACCTGGGGCTTACCCAAAGATAGGGCAGTTTGGCCTGCCCTGTCCCTACAGGAATTGAGGAACCTGGCTTTGTCTTCTCTTTCTAAGAGTGAGAGAATATGTGATTTCCTGAGGAGAGGGCAGATGGGGGTGCTTGGGAGGGTGTCGCTAACTTCAGGGTAGAGACCAAGAGGAAGGGGATAAGGAAGGCCCGAGCAGCTCTGATTGAGGCTGTCTAGTGAGACTCAGGCCTACTATGGGCAGTACAGAAGACTGGTAGCACGTTGTGTGCTCTTGATTAGACAGGGACAGCTGATAAGGTGGGTACAGTTCTTGGGGAGTATGTGTGTTGGGAAAATGGGCAGAGGAGGGATTCTGGGGTCAGGCCTAGCAGTGTGTAGTCAGGCTTTGAAAGAGACAGAGTAAAGCTAGAGAGAGCTCAAGATCCCAAAGTACCTCTAGGTCCTGGTGTGCTTGAATGCCCTCACTTCCAGGAGGGACTGAGGACTCAGGCAGACTCCAGCCTACAAGAGAGGACTTGGTCCCTGAGTACTCACATTCCAGCCTTACCGTGGAGAGAGGGCACAGGCCCACATGGAAGGGATAGGGTGCACTTACTGTGTACAGAGTAGTCGGGGTGCTGGAACGGGGAGTGGTCAAGCTTGGACTTTATCCCTCGAGCAGAGCTTCCTGAAAGAGGCAATACATGGATAATATCTAGAAGGGTGAAGCGCCCTTAATGGGACACATCGGGTACCTTTTGCTCCAAGACATACTGGTCACCTAGAACAGATGGTGACAGAGCAGCCCAGCAGGGTTGGCTTTGAGAGCAGTGAAGGGAATAGACTGATTGACAGGTCTCAAGGAGAAGAGGGTGGAGCAGGAGCACCCCAGTGACTTCCTACCTCAAGGACTAGGATTCACAAGCAAGAGTCACCAGAGTATTGAGTGGGCCCCAGATCCTAGAGGTGTCTCTCTCACACGCACACCCTCTGCCCTTACAGACGAAGCTGCAGGAGCAGAGACAGTACATTGTGGCGGAATTTAAGCAGGGACACCAGTTTCTGAAGAAGCGGGAACAGCACCTGCTAGACCAGCTGTCCACCCTGGAGCAGCTCCTCACTGAGGGCAGGGAGAAGTTCAAGACCCGGGGCGTCAGTGAGCTTGGCCGGTTGACTCTGGTCATCTCCGAGCTGGAAGGCAAGGCACGGCAGCCCGCCGCAGAGCTGATGCAGGTGAGAGGCCGGGCCAGTGAGGGACAGTGTAGTGCCCACTCTGCCACTCAGGCTTTTGAAGAAATTCCTCCTCCTGGGTCCTCGGTTTTACTGTCTAAAATAAATAAATGGGCATGGCAGTTTTATCTCCCTTGTCTGTTCCACATAAGCTTAAACACTGACATGAAATCACTTTAGAAAAATAATCATCATCTACAAAAGTGTCTGAAAATGTTTAAAGTGCCATAGAGCTGAAGGTGTTTGTTACCATCCTCCTTCCACACCACGAGACCTCCATCAAGCCCTCCCTGTTACAAAGCAGGTGTTTGTTGTTTTTGAGAGAGCCTGACTGTGCCATACTACCTGTCCTCAAATTAAAGGCAGTCCTCCTGTCTCTGCCTTCCGAGTGCTGGGATTACAGATGTGGCTAAGGCAGGTACTGACTTGGCAGGTGCCTTACATGGTTCTGGAGGTGAAGAAGGTGACTGAGGAAAGGCTGCACTGTGGCTGTCAGGATCCCAAGTGTGTGGAAGGGGAGGGCAGGAGGAGAAGGAAGGTAGCTGGGAGGTTCCTTCTGGACATCGGAGCATCATCCTAGAAAACAGATTGACAGGTATGAGCGGTGCCTCCGGACACGAAGGGAGGGCAGACTGTCAGGTTCCACTGATACACCTCTTCCTCTTAGGACTTTCCAGGGGAATCACCACCCTGAAAGGGCTTAAGGGTGAGGGCTGGACTTCTTTCCATCCTTCCCTGATAAGCTGGGAAGAGGGCTGTACTAATTTCCTCTGACTCTGCGGTTTGAGGTAATGCATGTTTCTGCCAGCAGAGGACACACAAAGGTCTCTAGGAAATGGGGTTCCAGGCCAGTGGCAGGGCACATGAGTAGCCGTGGGGGGCGGGGATGGTGATGCCAGTCCCTAGCACAGCCTGCATAAACAGGAGGCCTCTCTTTGTAGCAGGCTGGTCCACATGTAAGAGGACTGGCTGGTCCAGGCCATGGGGCAGGTGAGGAATGAGGTCCAGCTCAAGCCTGGTATCCTGCTCCCAGGCTTTGTACTCTTCTCTTTTGTCCCCTGCCCTCCTGTCTCCTTGCGCTGCTCTGGGCATCGCCTCTTCTCTAGATTTCTTTATCAGACTCTAGGTCACTTGTCTCCTTTCCCTTTCCCACTCTTTCTTAGCCTTCAAGGAGCACATCAGACTCCCAGCAGCCCTTCCGTGTGTAGATGTGTAGATAGGAGTTGGGAGTGGTGTAGCTGAGAGTACTGGGGTTTGTCATTAATGTGTCTGTCTAGAGAGCATTTTCCCCTGATCCACCCTGGGAGGAGCTACAATGCAGAAGCCCCAGTCTGAACATCAGGACTCTGCCCCTGAAGCTCCCATGGTGGGGTGTGCTGATGAGAGAAAATAGGGGTATCTGTTTAAAGCCACGGCACAAAATGCTGGTGTTAGCAGACTTTGTCTGTATTTGGGTTTCCTGGAGCAAAGCTCCTGAACCTTCTGGAACAGTCCTTAACAGCCACTATTTGAGGATTGCCTTTGTTTTCCATATTGTACCTCTCTCAGAAGCCAGCCTGCCCCTCTGCCCATCCCCCTTCACCCTCTGACTCCCGTAGCACCTGTCACTAACAGGGTATGATGTTATATATTTTTATGTTGATTTTTTCCCCCTCTCTTGTCTGCTTCCCTCTGCTAGGATGCCTGCTCTACACAGGTAGGGATTTGTCTTCTTTATTGCTACTTCAAACCTCTAGATCAGTGCTTGCCTGGCACAAGGAATCACTTAGCAAAGGTTTGTGGAATAAGTGAAAGGAAGATGAAAATCAGTCAACACGAGAACTCTCGGGGGCTCTCAGACTCACCAGAGCATCATCTCACAAGATGTTCCAAGCCTCTCTGTCCTTCCGCTGCCTTCCTCCTGCACAAGGTGCCAATCTGTAGTGACCCTTGGCCAGCACATCCACTTGAGTCGCTCTAAAACAGTCATGGGATGCTCAGCTTCTCTCTTGTGCCCCTGCTGCCATCTCCAGCTCCCTGTTCCACAGCAGCCACCAGGGTGACCTCCCCTGTTCCCATTGCCTCCTACAACCGTTTGCCAGGGAGCAGCCAAGTGACTAGTCACCTAGGGTTTCTGCTAGTTTCTGCTCAATACTCATTTAGAGAAGAAATTCCTTTTCTGTCTTTGCAGCAGTTCAAAGGTGTGGGTCTAGAGATATCCATAAAGTCATCCAAGAGCTGGTTTATTTCTAGCTGACCATCTAGTCTTGGGGATATTGTTCTCAGCCCTGCAATTTGAGCTGGATTCATCACTGTGTTCAGAATTCAGCCAACGAAAAGAAAGGAACTAGAAAGCAATTTTATTTTTTAAAGGACAAAGAGTGAGAAGTCTTGGTCTTTTCACCCCTGCATCCCATTGGAACTCAGTCACATGACCAGACTTGATTGTAGGGAATATGGGAAATGTAGTTTCTTGACTGGACACTTATCAGGCCAGAACTTAAGGAGTTTAGCATTATAAAGAAGGGGAAGGCAGGTAACATGACTTAGCAGGGAAAGACACCTGCTACCAAGCCTGGTCACCTGAGTTTAATCCACAGAACCCACATGGTGGAAGGAGAGAACCAACTCCCACAGTTGTCCTTTGACCTCCACATACATTGTGATATAGTGCGCGCGCACACACACACACACACACACACACACACACACACACACATTTAAAAGTGGAGAGGAGGGAAAATGGGTGCTGAGAGATAGTTGCCTTTTATCCCACTGTGCATAGAATAAAATTCACCACCATCACCCCATCCTGCCTGGTGTGCTCTGGCCCTGCCTCCTCTCTAAGGCCTTTCCCATTTCTTACCAGTCTGCACTCAGCTAGAACTTTATCGTTCTTCAAACCTTAGCTAAGTGTCTCCTTGGAGAGGCCAGGTCACTTGCCACTGCTGCTTACTTCTGCCCTTACATTACGTTGTTTGTCCATTTTATCTTATTTATTTTATATTATGTTGTTTGTACATGGATGTGTGTTTGTTCACCACTTGTATGCTTGGTGCCTATGGAAGCCAAAAGAAGGCATGAGGTTCTCTGGAATTGGAGTTACTGCTGGTAGTGACCTGCCATGTGAGTGCTGGGACTTGAACCTGGGTCCTCTGGAAGAGCATCCAGTGAGATGGCTTAGCCACTGAGCCGTCGCTCCAGCCCATTGCTTGTTTTCGAGCCCCACCAGACTGTCAGTTCCCTGGGGAGGAAGCCATGTGTGTTGTGTTTGCTGTTGTGTGCCTGTCTGTTCTGTGGTACTGACTTACGGATGCAGTTTTACTTAATTCACTTTGGTGCCTGTGTTTTCTTCCTTTGCCAGGATACCAAGGACTTTGCCAACAGGTAAGAGTTTCATTTGCTTGTTGTTCCTCTCCCCACTTATGTGGCCATGGTCTGTGTAAATGATGGGGAGTGATAGGAAGCCAAAGGCAAGGTGGCCCGTGTCTCATCCCATGGCTTTTAAGAAAGAGCAATCTTTGGGGATTAGAGGCTGTTCTCTCCCAGCATGATCTCTGAAGTCCAACTGGCCTCACTGTCTTCACCTGAAGCACAGTGGGGGAGTCAGAGCCTGGCTTGGTAGACAGAATGCTCACTTGTGGGATCTGCTGGTGGTCTTATGTCCTCATTTTGTCTTTGGCCAGTTTTTCTGTCTCTTGATTAAGGATAATCAAACCTTTCCTGCTCACTTTATAGTTGTCATGAACACTGGCAGAAAAGCACAAGAGCCAAATGACAGGCTGTTGTGTCCATCATGTTTTCAGGTACCCACGGAAGAAGTTCTGGATTGGGAAAGCCATCCCTCACATGGTTAAAAGAAAGGCAGGAGAATTCTCAGATAAACTTCTCTCTCTGCAGCGAGGCCTGAGGCAGTTCCAGGGTAAGCACTGGGGACAGCACCAGGCTGGAGGTCAGGCTGGACCACATGTGAAGGTTTCCTGGCTTCTCATCTTCTCCCATCTCATCCTTCCAAGGAGCTGTAGCTTCTGTATCTTTTCTCCTTGGGATCTCCAGTAGAGCCTTGTCTCATAATTAATGCCAAGTAAGAAATGGGTTCATGCCGGGCGGTGGTGGCGCACGCCTTTAATCCCAGCACTCGGGAGGCAGAGCCAGGCGGATCTCTGTGAGTTCGAGGCCAGCCTGGGCTACCAAATGAGTTCCAGGAAAAAGGCGCAAAGCTACACAGAGAAACCCTGTCTCGAAAAACAAAACAAAACAAAAAAAAAAAAAAAAAAAAAGAAATGGGTTCATGAGTTTGCTGGTCTGAAGCTCAGTTCTGTCTTCTTTTTCATCCTTAGGCAAGCTGCTTAGAGACTTGGAGTATAAGACAGGTGAGTAAACAAAACAACCCCCGTGGAATCCTCACTGGTATTGCCCAAAGGTGGCCCCACCCCTTACATTTCTGACTACACTTCTAGTCCTCATCTACCTGACCACATGGTCCTTTCAAGCAAACAGCAGTGGTAGCCCAAGGCCAGAGATCATCTTGCCCAGACCTGTGCTGTGTGTGCTGAGTACCCCCAGAGGACACAGTTCACAGAGACTGTGATGTAGATAGCACTCTGGACTGTGCAGTGAGACAGCCCTGCACAGTAGAGACTGGCTGCCTCTTCCCAGCCTGCCATTGACACTGTTACTTCCTCCCTTGTCCCACAGTCAGTGTCACCCTGGACCCACAGTCGGCCAGCGGGTACCTGCAGCTTTCAGAGGACTGGAAGTGTGTGACCTATACCAGCCAGTACCAGAGTGACTGCCTGCACCCCCAGCAGTTTGACTGTGAGCCGGGGGTGTTGGGCAGCAAGGGCTTCACCTGGGGCAAGGTATACTGGGAAGTGGAGTTGGAACGAGAAGGCTGGTCAGAGGATGAGGAAGAGGGGGAGGAGGAAGAAGAAGGGGAAGAGGAGGAAGAAGATGAGGAGGCTGGCTATGGGGATGGATATGAAGACTGGGAAACGGATGAGGATGAGGAATCACTAGGGGAGGAAGAGGAGGAAGAAGAGGAAGAGGAGGAGGAAGTTCTGGAAAGCTGCATGGTGGGAGTGGCCAAAGACTCTGTGAAGAGGAAAGGGGACCTCTCCCTGCGACCAGAGGATGGTGTGTGGGCCCTTCGGCTCTCCTCCTCAGGCATCTGGGCCAACACGAGCCCCGAGGCCCAGCTCTTCCCAGTGCTGCGGCCCCGGAGAGTGGGCATTGCCCTGGATTATGAAGGGGGCACTGTGACATTCACCAATGCAGAGTCACAGGAACTCATCTATACCTTCACGACCACCTTCAGCCGGCGCCTGGTTCCCTTCCTGTGGCTCAAGTGGCCAGGAACACGCCTCCTGTTGAGACCCTGAATTCCAGAAACTGCCTGGGCCACACTACAGAATCTTCAGTTCTCTGAGATTCGAGGACTCTGAGATGAAGAAGGGTTGCCTGGACCGTACCCATGGAAACTTCCTTTCTCTGGGATCCCAAGACTGTGTGATGGATGAACATTCTTGGTCAGAGCACCAGGAGGAGGAGAGAGGAGGGACATTCACATCCATATGGCACCCATCTCCTCACAGTCATGGCCAGGATCTCTCTCAGTGTGTCACTTCATCTGTTTTTCTTGTTTGAACTTCTCACTCTCCTGCCCATTTCCTCTGGGATGACTCCCTCCTTCCTGAGAACCCGTTTGTCTTGGCTCTGTGTTCTCTGTTGAGTAGGGGCAGCAGCAGCAGCAGCAGCAGCAGCAGCAGCAGCAGCAGCAGCAGCAGCATCATTTCTCGTTCAGTTGTTGTTCAGTGCTCACAGGTATTGAAAGAGACCATCAGTGATATTTGAAGCCATTTGGCTGTCCTCAAATTTGAGGTTCCTCTTGCCCAAAAACCACTCTGTTGCCTACCTTCCCTGGCTTCTTAAACTCACTTTTCCTACCCCACCAGAGTTAAATATCTGAAGAAGCAGGATTGAACATAGTCAACATCCAAGGCTGTGTAAGTTTGTGTCCTGAAGTGTTGGTGAAATCATCTCCTGGTGCCATTAGCAAAGCTCATGGCCTCCAAACCCAGAGCTGAAGAAGGGGTGGGACTCCCCAGGGCCATCTGTATCTCCAAAAGCATCCAGGTACTGTGACTCAGGCAGGAGCTGTGGTCAATAGATTACCTCTGCAGAGTAGACCTTGTGAAGGGAGATTTTAAAACAATTCCAACATCTTGCTCTTGATTAGTGGGTCTGAAAACACTGAGGCCCAGGAGATCAGAACTACCCCTGCTTCAGAGTCTCCAGCAAGTGTCTCCAGGACAGCTTTAGGCCTCTGCTCTTGGCATCATGGAATGTCCAGAATCACTTTCTTAGGATATGGATTGGAGAAGGGAAGACAGTCCTGAGGAATCTGGAAAACTCCCACCCCAGGTCTTACTGTGAGGAGAGGCCCTGCAGTGTCTCTCTGTTGACCCAGCACCAGCCCCTCTGTCCAGTCACCCAGTGCCCACAGTTGAACACCAGCTCCTGCTTAGCCAAAATGATGCCCCTCTTCTTATCCTTAAACATTCCACATTTCTTCTGCCTGTCCAGGTGTTAAGCTCTTCTTTGCTCTTGAGAGGCTGCTCCCAGACTCTGGATTTTGGTGGCCTTAGAGTCACCACACTGTCTCAAGACTGAACACTTTGTATATATCACACGATGCCTGAGTCACTAGTACATACACAGTGGCTCCCTCACCACCTTTTGTTTTTCCTGGAATTAATCATCATTTTTCTCTTCCTTCTCCTTTAATTCATTTCCTGTGTCTTTATTACTAATAAACTACAAGTTCTTTTTAGTGATCAGCAATCTCAAGACAGTCATCGGTGCTGTCTCCTTTTATCTTGATGCCTCTGAAGTGACCTTGAACCCGAGTCATCGATTGATCCCTTGTGATCCTTGTTAGACCCCCTTTTGTCATCAGACTGGGGGTTCTGGATTTGCCCCTGAGGCCTGTAGCCGGGGCTAGCCTCAGTCTCATTATGTGGCTGGCCTTAAACTTCCGGCCTCTACCTTCCAAATTCTGAGATTTCAGGTCGGTGCCCACTATGCCTAGTTTATGCTGGTGACTGCACCCAGGTCTCATGCATCCTAGGCAAACATGCCCCTCAGCTACATCCCCAACCCATGACCCTGTTTCTGGACCCTGTGTTTCCTCTCCCAATTGGTCACACATTATCTGATAACTTCCTGAGCTGAGTGTGGAAGTCAATTTTTTTTTAATCTTCAGTATCTAGAAGTGTTTATCTCACTTGTACACTTAAGGGGTTGGCTATAAGAGTCTTCAAAATAGTTTTCCTTCAAAATGTCAGAAGATTGCTTTACTGCCTTTAACTCCGGTTCAAAATTCCCATGGGGCACTCTGCTTCATGATCTTTCCCAGTGGCCTGTTTCTGTTTTACAGGGGGTTGGGAGAGTTGGAAATCTTATCTATATCCTTACTCCATGTACTAGCACATTCCACGATGAGTGGCATGTTTGAACGCCCACCCACC